GCAATCGCTAAGGTAAGTGTTGGAAATAATGGATATGAAATAAACAAATTGCTGTAGAATAAATAATAAATATTTATTAAATTAATATTTTATTGTTCGTAAACCAAACAATATTTAGATAGAAAAGTTTTATTTATCTACTAAGTCCAAAAAATAAATAAAAATGTTTATACAAAAAATTCAATAAAACAGGTAGCTATAAGTCAATACCTAATTAAAGTAGTTAAATAGTTGGGTTTGTGCTTACTTGGTTAATTAATGGTTTAAAGGCTTAGCCTAAAGGATATTAAATAAACTAACCCCTAAAAAATAACTATTTATTTAAGTTTTTGAATAAATAATTTTGAAGTTTTGTTTTTCATTTGCACAATTTGTTCTTCTTCCAAAGTACTATTTTTACTTATGTTCGGAATGTCTATTTCGAAGTGTGTAACATCACTGTTTTTCAATCAAATGTTGATACATAATTATTCCCATATTAAATTAAAAAAAAGATACTTCAATAGAATTCTTTAGTAAATTAACATAATTATTTAACTAATGTCTACTAAATGATAAAATAACCCGATGTTCTTGTTGGCATTTAAATCTTACAATAGAAAAATTAAGAGTTGTTATATATTATTAACAATTTGTACAAACCAAAATTGCTGGTAGCCAAATAAATTGGTACCAAATATAGTTGGTATAATACATAGTTTGGAGAAAAAAAATATTGATATCGTAGTATGTTCACCCCTAGTTTTTATTGTCTTGGAGTTACTACTAGAAAAATAATAAGATGTGACAGATTATGATAGACGTTATTTTTATGGTAGACAAAAAAGTTTATTGTAAATATAATGTCAAGTATTAATAATTTACGAGATACATATATTGTGTCATCTTTTACAAAAATCACAAATGTAAGTCGTAAAATGTCTGTTAGAAACTTAAAAGAAAAACAATCTTAAATTAGGACGTAAGTAAAAGTTGTGGTAAATTTACGATTTTACGACAAAACAAATGTTTGTCATCTGTTATTTATATCGTGTCATAAATCAAATGGAGAGCGGTGGCATCAAGGGTGGACCATCGTTCATTTTCTTCATCAGTTGGTGATGTTGTTAGTCTCTTTGCCACTAGCCGGTGGGATATATCATTAATAACTCAATGTGGTAATATGTTCAGTTTTTAGTATTTATTCTGAAAAAGTATGAATACAAGGACGAGTAGACATTGGAGTGAATTTTATTTTTAACCACTGTATTAATTTGATCTTAACGACACTTGTACCTTTAAAATACAATACAAAAACTAGTCTTTGAGAAGAATACAAAAAAATAAGAGTTTAACTCATATTGACAAGAATGCATGAAAATAAACATATCATACTTATTAACCCTTAACACTGTGAAGACTCCCAACTAGGGAAGAGTACATGGTGTCATCAGGCAAAATACCCTCATTTTTCATTTGATCATACAACTTAAAAGCTTCTTCTGTTCTTCCTTCCTTTGATAACCCATCAATCATGGCTGTATAACTTATGACATTTCGAGTAAAACCTCTCTGAGGCATTTCATCGAACAGCTTCATGGCATTATTCACCCTCCCAGCCAAACATTCCCCATGCACTAAACAAGTGAAAGTGTAAACATCAGGCATCACACCTTTCTCTTCCATTTCACTTCTTACCCTATAAGCTTCCTTCATCAACCCTTTCTTGGAATACCCATTAATAAAAGCATTGTATGTCACAACATTTGGTCTCTCCCCTTTGCTCTCCATTTCTCTAAGTGTCCTTCTAGCTTCAATGAAATTCCCTTGCTTACAGAAAATATCAATCAATGTCGTGTAAGTTAGCATGTTTGGAGTGATTCCTGTTTCTGTCATTGTAAACAACATCGTCTTTGCTTCTTCATATCTGTTAACTCTACACAAACCTGTAGCAATTATATTGTAGGAAATGACACTAGGTTTGAACCCTTTCTTCTCCATCAAACTCTGCAACTTAATTGCATCATTCACATTTCCTTTTTTACAGTACCCATCCATTAATGTGTTGATTATAACATCATTCACATCGAGACCTTTATTTTGCATTTCAATCAATAAAACTTCAGCAGCTTTCATCTCCCCTGCTTTGCATATACCATTAAGCAACACCCCATAAGTGTGGATACTTGGAACAAGGCCTCTCTCTGTCAATTCATCAAACAACTTGAAAGCCCTTTTCATTTTCCCTAGTTTACAGTTGCAACTTATCATTGAAGTGTAAACATAAACATCAGCCACTATACCCTTCTCATGCATTTCATCAAACACCTTCTCTGCTTCCTGAATGTTGTCCAACATGGTGTAAAATTCTATTAAAAGGGTATAAGTTGCCACGGAGAAAGAAACTCCTTGCGTTTTCATTGAATCAAGAGTCGTTTCTACTTCCCTAAATTCTGATTTCTTTAAATGGGCATTGATCAAAGCGTTATATGTATTCGCATTAGGTTTAACCCCTTTCGTAATCATTTCCTCCATCAATTCTCTTGCCTTTATAGTCTTCCCAAGCTTACACATTGCAGAGATCGCCATTGTCATAGAATAAACGGTTATCCCAACTCCCGAATCAACCATTTTATTAAAGAAGTCTGACAATAAATCGAACTTGTTGCACCTATTCGCTGCAAGCAGAAAAACCATACAGGACCTATCATCTATCTTACTGAACCCGTTACTTTTCATGTAATCAAAAACCTCCAAACTCTCTTCAAACTTCTCATTGTCGGAGTAAACACGGAACAAAGTATCAAACAACTTCCCGAGAACAACCTTACTGACTCCATAACTACAATTCTCGTTCACGAAAGACGTGATTTTTTTAATAGGTTGTTGGATATGATTGTTGATGGCTAATTGGTTCAAGATATCCTTAGCTAGTGCGAAATCTTTAGATTTGTAAAGGCGACAAGAAAGTGATATGTATGGTTCGATAAGATTCAATCTGTTGGGTTGGAGGGAATTGAAGAAACTGAAGCAAGATTGAGGTGGAAGGTGTGTGTTTGAGAGGACGAGGGTTATGATTTTGGGGTTCAGAGAAGCTGGAGGAAACTGAGAAGTTTGACAAGTTTGAAGGGATTTGGAGATGAGATTGGCGATTCGTTCATCAGGGTTTACTAGAGTGGAAGGGGGGACTTTGGGAATGCTTTTGGTGAATGCTGCTAACAGGGATTTATTCGGCATGTTTAGGGTTGTGAGACCTTGATTTATGATGCTTTGTAGTTTGTAGCTGGCAAATCGCAACAAACATTTATAAAATTAAAGACAAAATTACATAAACGGTGTTTATGGTTGTGTATACTGTATATCGTTTGCAAAAAATCATAGGTTCGGTTCCTCGTTACAACTTTGATATGAAGTTACCATTTTGCTTCTGATTAAATTTTTAATTAAAGTTAATAAAAAACCAATTATAATTTAAAATAGAAAAGTTATACTAAAGCTAGCCGGCTAGCCCCCGATCCCTCTTTCCGTCAACTCTCACTCCCGATTAGCTTCATCTTTCCCATCTCTCCGTCCTCTATTATGGTTTTAATAGTCGGCCACCTTCTATCGCTCCTCCCTCTGCCTTGTCATTTTTGTCTCCATTGTTGCCTCCATCGAAATCGACCACCAATAGAAAAGTAGCCAAAAAAAGAATGCACCCTTTCTCTATATTATCCTTTATCACCGGGTATGGTCTTTCTCAACCTCTGGCTGATAAGTTCCACCGTCTATTCTAGTAGTGGCAATTTATGATACCACACACAACGAAATTAGAACGAAATCGAATTTTAAATTCGTGTTCGTATCAAGTGTAAAAACACACGACGTCATGTCGGGTTGTATGCATGTTCAAAATTTGACACGAAATTGAAACATTATTAACTTGTGTGTCGTATTCATCGTGTTTTGTATGATTAAATGTAAAATAAATAACTTAAAGGTTCGTTTTATTTTATTTTTTTTCGTGTATGAGGTGTTGATCGTTTTTAACGTGTTTTTAATTGGGTCGAATTTGTGTTAGTAAGAAAATACGAGGTCATATCGTGTTGTAAAAGACGATATGATTTTCTAATTTGACACTCCTTGTCTACTTCCTTCTCCTATTTTCCTTCCTCAGTTCTACTGACAACTACACTAACCCTATCTTTTTCCTTCTGTCATATCTATCACTACTCACTCCCCCGTGATGTGTCTTAATAGCTACACCTAATTTTACCTACTATCTAACTAACTATTCGACTAAAGTCAGTATACCTTTTCGCAAATAGTGTAGCACAAAAAGTCGAGTATCGATCTCAGTGAACGGTTTTAGTTATTTAATCTAATTGCTACTAAATTAACCTAAATTTCTAAACAAAAGTTTAAAATGGTTTTATCTGATTTTGCAAGTTCAGACAAACTTAATTACTCAACTATAAAATTCAATCAATGACTAAAATCACTTCTATTTAGTTCGAATCCACTTTTCCTCAATGGTTAGCTATTAATTATGGATAATTCAAGTTGGTTACCAATTAATCTATTATTAGTAATTTAGTTCCAAATATACTAATGTTTAACTAATTCATGTAGAACTATGTATGGTCACACATAATTTAACACATAATCAATTATTAATTATGATTGTAGCTATGTAAGATTGATTAAACAAACACAATTGTAGTAACAAAATATGTTCTCCAACACAGCTAAAATTTAATACTTTAATTACTTAACTAAGATTGGTTCGATCTTAGCTCTAATAATCTAATGGTCACTAAATTACTAGGTAATCAAATTCATGCAGGTTAACGTTCACTAAATTACTAAGTATTAAATTTTAGCATGCTAGGTATAAACAATCAAACACAAGCTTAATACCAACAAGAAAAATCCATAATAAAATAACTAAACCATGAGTTCAAGCTTCATCTAGCTAAACATAAACATCTAGATTCAGCTACTCATAGTAACAATAAAAAACACAATCTTCATTAATAAGAACATAGTAATTGTACCAAATTAAGAACAAAGTTATGATCTTTAACTTCTCCTCCTTTCTTGGATGTTATCACTAATTCTCTGCCTTATTTTTCTCTGAAAATCGACTTTTGAACTCTTTATTCTCTCCAGCCAACCTCCTTAATTCGTAAATACCAAGGATATATATAGTTTCGTGGTTTTTGAACTCCACGTCGTGGACTAGAGATTCACGTCGTGAATTTGAATGTATCCTTATCGGGCAAGGATTCTGACTTCACGTGTACTCATCTTCTAGAATCGCCCATGCCACGTCGTGTAAATTAAGCCCACAACGTGAATTTAGTTTTTTCATGGGATTTTCTTTTCTTTAATTCTTTAAGCCTCCAAAGTTCCATTACTTGTCGCTTTTGGTACTTGTTCTTCAAGATTGCTCCTTCTGGTTGCAAAATACAATTTAATCTTATAAGTACCACTTATCTTTGCAAATAACCAAAATATTAATCAAAATGTATTAAAATATTGCCTAAAGATGTGTATAAATATGGCAATATCACCCCGCCTATCTCTGTAAACTCGACACTTTCATCGATGATTCTAATCAAGTTAAGTTCTTAAATTTGCATGTGTTAATAACATGAGATGCACCAATTTCATGTATTACTCTTTTTTCTTGATCAAGACTTTATAGAATGTCGTCAAGGGTAAGGTTAAGGTTAAGGTTAGTGTGTTGTCTATTCTAATGTTATGCATTGTCTTCTGCACTAAATAAAATTTAAATGTAAAAAACACTACTTTTATATATTATAAAGATGCACAAGTGTATATAATCAAAATAACTCTTTGATTAAATAAGGAAATATAACTCAAAAACATTTACATTTGCTTTCTCTTTTTTAAATCCTAAAACTCGACTAAGACATTGTATTTATAGACTTCTAATAACCGACTTGCTATTAGACTACAATTAGGATTCATGTCCAACTTGCCATCTTTACGATTACTTGGTCTCCAAGTCCTCATCGACTTAGGACTCCAACAGTCACCCCCGAATCTCTAAGTCCTTCTAGAGAATTCTTCAACCCGATCCGTATTTAAAATACGGGCTCATCGTTATCGTCACATTCCGAAAAATCACATTTTTGTAATTTTTGGAGTCGTTCCGGACATTCAGAGGCAAAGTGACCCGGTTTGTCACACCGAAAAGAAATCACCTTAGATCGGTCTTTTTCCCTATTTTTTCGATTTTTGTCACAACAATTACAATTTTTGCAATTGGTGGAATTAGGTTGAATTAAATCAGAATTGGACTTGTGGTGATTGGGCTTACCCCTTTGTGATACTCGATTACATGATTTAGGCCCACTTGACCCGCCAGACCCATTAAACCCTCCTGATCCACTAAATCCTCTTGATCCATGATTACCAGTCGACGCCTCTTTTCCCTTTGTCGATCTTTCCTTTGCTCCACCAGACAAGCCATCACCACCACCTGAACCACTGCCGCCACTTCTCGATGACCACAGAACCTTCGGTTCTTCTCCTCCGTCATCACCCTCTTCCCTAATCCTTCCTTCATAAGCTTTAAGCCTTCCCATAACATCTTCAAATCCAACCGATTTGAGATCCAAGACTTGTTCAAAAGAAGCAACTATGTGGATGAAATTTCTGGGCAAAGCTTTTAGAAATTTCTTAACCAATTTGGATTCTTCGATCACTTCTCCTAAAGCAGTCGATTTTGAGGCGATTCCCGACAATTTCCCGCTAAAAGCATCGATAGATTCAGTCTCCTGCATCTTCAGTCTATCGAAATAAGCCATTAGGGTCTGGAGTCGGGCCTCCTTCACTCAATCAACCCCAATGTGTCAAGCCTTGATTGCATCCCACATGGATTTTGAAGAATTGACTTCTCCAATATGGATAATCAAACTTTCCGACAATGCTTGATAGAGCAGACCTAACGCAAGGCAGTCCATCTCTTCGGTTATTGCGGTTCCTGGATCAATCATGCTCCAAGCTTTGTGATGTTGGATTAGGTGTCTAAGCCCATAACTATAATTGGTATGTACTTGACCCGAGAGTAGCATGGTCCATTTGGGTTGCATATCACCACGACAATTTGATAGGATGGACTTTTGAGAAGAGGTTAGTTAAGATTTATTAATATATTATAAGTTCTAATATATTAATATGAAATCATATGATTTAATTAGTATTGATCTAGAATT